TCCAGGCATACTTGTGTTTAGGGTTCTTACCTCTGAGTCCTGTCTCATTCCCCTTTATCATCTCTCCAGCTATTATGAGGAAGAGGAGGTTAGACCTGGCTGTGGTGCAGTTTGTCGGAGGGCCACCAGGGGGCGGGCTTCCTTCAGCCGTGGTTCATGTTTGCCTTTAGGCGCTGGTTTGACTTGCCTGCCTCTGCGGCCACAAGACAGATGGCTTGCTGTGCAGAGAGGGGTTCTTGGTTCCTGAGTGAGGAGTTTCTATAACATCCAGCTGGAGACTAGAGCTATTAGATTTGCTGTATTCCAGGGAGCAAGGACCATTTTCCACTTCGAACATGCTTTGTGCCTCTCACCTACTTCTTGTGATCTTATTATTATACAGTAAGTGATGCCTTACCCTAAATGTTAATGCTTTTTAAAATTTTCCTATAATCCTAGTTAACTTTTAGTGTTCTTGTCTGCCTCAAAACCCTCCTCCTGTGCATTCCTAACATAACAAGGTGATTCTCTTTTAGGGGGAACCAGTGGAGACTCAGTGACCCAGACTGAAGTCCCAGTCACTCTCTCAGAGCAGGAGCTTTTGATGCTGAACTGCACTTACCAGACCACTGATTCAGATCCCTACCTGTTTTGGTATGTGCAGTACGTCAACAAAGCTCCTCAACTCCTCCTGAAGGGCTCAACTACAAACCCAAGGCCAGAGCATCAAGGTTTTCAGGCCACTCTTGATAAGAGTAGCAGGAACTTCCACCTGCAGAAACCGTCCGTGCAGACGTCAGACTCGGCCGTGTACTACTGTGCTCTGGGAGACACAGTGAGAGGGGCTGCAGGGGGAGCTGAGCACAAACCCAGGTTTGCGCAGGTGAGGTCTGGCTGTCAGCGGCCCTGGGAGGGGCTGCTATTTTCTCTCTCCAGTGATCTGTGTGCTGGAGGCACCCTCAGTGTCCTGCCAGCTGTGATGCTCAGAGCCAGGAACCTTGGAAAGCTTGGATTGCTCCACAGAGAGGAATTGGGGGAAGAACAGTGGAGACAGGAACCTAAGAGCTCTTCTCCAGGAAAGCGTGTTTTCAGCCCACCCTCTTTCCCAGGGAAGGCACATAGCTCCGGGGAGGTTTCGCTAACTCTGATCAATGACATTT